TAATCTAATCCTTTTTTATCTAAAGCTGAAGTGGAAAGAACTTCACTAAAAGATGCATTATATCTATTATATGCATACTATGATTTGGGAGTAATTACTTTGCAGGTACAGCATAGAAACTTTAAACCACCATAGAAACAAATATGCCCTTTTAATCATTTTTCTTCTGTAATTTAGAGCTTTATTTTTTTTTCATTTATTTCCAGTACCTATCCGCTTGTTACACAAATATTTTTTTCTAAATGAAATAGATATTTATGTTGAGGTTATCCAAATTAATAAATTGATCGATAGAGAAAAATACCATTGAGAAACGCAAAAAACCAAAAAACAAAAAAAAGACGAAAAGGCAATTCCAATGAAATACAATTGTAAACATTAATCGTAAGCCTAACTATGTTTTGCTACACAGGTTGGGCCCGTTAGGTTGTTGATGTAAACATAAAATTCGTTGATATTTTTTACAAGAAAAAGAAGGATAGACCCTCGATAAATGGTAAACTTATCGATCCTTTAAATAAACTTATTTTTAAAGGTTAACAACTCAACACTGTAATTATATCTTTGAATATTGTTTTATTGGTATTAGTATTGATTGTGTTATCAGTAAATCAAAATCAAACTAAATATTATTTTATATTTTCATATACACATTCATGACTCTACAATCTGTCGATACCTGTATCTAGGCATTGCACAAGGTCATGTTTTTCTCTGACTGTTAATGACGTCTTTACACTAGATCCATTGGATGTGTACTGATTGATATCTTAGTCTTAGATGCATGATTTTTATTAGTTGTTGTTGGCTTTGAACTAGATGTCAGCAACTGCGAGTACTCTTAGATCTGTACGTAGTGTTTTTTTTTGTTGTGGGGATGTATAAATACCCTGTCACGCCCGGTCTGTTCTTTTTTTTTTTTTTTTTTTGCTAAATCTCTTTCTGCTTTGTATCGATCTGATGAGTCAAGCCCTTTTCAACTGATTTTTATAGTTTGTTTTTATGTTGTACTATTTCACCACTGTCCCAGGTTAGGGGAGGGTTGGCGCCTTCAAACTAGTTTAACCCCGCAACATTCTGTATGTAGGTCCAAAGTCATGAGCCTGTAAATCAGTGCTATTCGTTTGTTGCTATATATCATATTTGTTTTTCAATCATTATTTTGTACATAAATCAGGCCGTCCGTCTTCTCGTTTGAATTGTTTTACAGTTTTCATTATGGGCCCGTTTATACCTGACTATGCGGTATGGGTTTTGCTCATTGTTGAAAGCCTTGCGGTGACTTATAGTTGTTAACTTCTATGTCATTTGGTCTCTTGTGGAGAGCTGTCTCATTGGCATTTATACCACATCTTCTTATTTTTATATATATAAAGAAACGCATTGGACGAACATGATTTCTAAATTGTTATTTTCTTGGAGCATATCCGTGGTCATCTATGACTTGCTTACCCGTCTGTTAACCGAAGCCTTGCAGTACATGAAATGAACTTAAAATACACCTGTGACGTAAATCTTTTGCTCAAACTATCCATTATTTTTCAGGAATGGAGAGTTATTTTCTATTGTTCATCTTCATTCATCCGGACGTTTTTCCCTTTGGATATTTGGGCTCTTTCGTAAAAAAGTGTTCCCCTATGGAAATAATTCTAAAGGACGTAACGCGATATTGAATGAAAATGAAAACTTACTAAAACGGCTGATACTAGATTTTTAAAAATTGGGATCGTAGTAATACAATGAACACCAAATATCTCTTTACAAACAAACATCTTTTTTTTGCGAGTCGTAATTCCATCGTATGATATATAGTATTGTATTCACTAAAATTCAACAACATTATCCACAATTTGTTTTGCGATGAAATCTTGGCTAAATTTCTGTCACGGATAGTATCCAAACGGGTAAAAACGAATATTTTCCGTTAAGTGCCATTCCTCTTCTGTGCATCTACAAAATATTAAAATGCGGGATAGTTTTTACAATATATTGTGGTTTAAAAAAATAAATATTTCAAGAAACTGAAATGGTCAAAATAGCGTATTCGGTATATTTTTTTTTATTTTTCGTTGTTATAATCAAAATATAGTACTTATGAATAGAATTTGAGGGGTATGAATACCATGTGTTAAATATTGGGCGGGGTTTTTATTAAATTTTTAAGAGAAACGCCTACCATAATCGAATTCATTCATGGTTTTTATGTGTCCAGTGGCAAACATAACAGTTATATCGGCAGCGCAAATGACGGCGTAGATCTTAAAATGTTTAAATGAAATTAAAAAGTGGTTTTCCACTTAAGTTAAAGACATACAAAATGGAATCCAGAAATGTTTTAATCAAGCGAGTGTTTTTCTTAAACTTTTTGCTTCCTTTCTGATAATAGAGAAGAATGAAAAATATTTTCAATTTGCTTGTATTGCTATTTAAGACTCATCTAACAAATGCATCCACGTTTTGTTCGTTGTAACGAGCAAAGAGAAAGAAAAAATGTTGGGTTATGCATGAAACATTGTTTTCTTGTTTACTTTATTTCATCTAATAGAATGGTTTGAAATATAGAATCACATTTTGTTTTCGATATGACATATAATCGTGCACACCCTTATTTGTTAAATAACGTAGACTAGTGTGTAACATGTACATACCTGGAAATTCTAGTTGTACCATTTCATTTTCTTAGACGATTCTACATCCAATATTTATCAAACGAAAAACTCACATAATCCATTAACATAATTATATGCATAAATAATAGTGTTTGCTCTCTCTCCCGAAATACCACTTAAAGACACAAATAAATATCATTTCAATCCCAAAACAAAAAAAGAAATGCGTATCCAATGACTTAAAACATAAATCTGGATGAACTTTATTCTTTTTATAGTAATTATTCTACTGTTCATAAATACTTCGTTAAGTAGGTAGATGGTTAGCTTGATCTTAAATTTTGCCTGTGGATTTTTTGTTACAACATGGGGGAAATGAAATAAAAATCATTACAGAATGAAATAAAATTCTTTAAAATGTTATAATCTGAAAATACGTTCTTAATATTTAAGGTGTATTTTAAGTTAGCGAAAGTCCAAATAACTGTCCAGTCCTGGGAAACAATGGGCGTCGGCCCTACGGGCTTCCACTCCATTATCTCCTAGGAAGGGACAGTTATCTGGACTTTCTCTATAACTGATATTTACATGTAGACTGATTTATCCCCTGTCCCACTGACCTGTAGGACTCATCCACATTTTGAATGTTAAAAATAATACCTCTGTCCTCATTGACATGTTGACCTGACGATAGGCATATCTTGTCGACTTGCTGACTTGTTCAATATAACTAGAAATAAATACTGACTTATTAATTTGTTGACCTGTCGACTCGTGGACTAGTAAACTGGCTGCTCAAAAATGGTCATGCATGTTCACCGATGTATATAAGGGAAATTTACCAAAGCATCGACATATAAATTTGAACCGAATTTTGCCGGAATTAATTCAATATTTTTTTCCAAATGGTGCAGTTGAATAAGGCAACAGTAGTATACCGCTGTTAAATATTCATCAATCGATTAAGCAAATACAAATCCGGGTAACAAACTAAAACTGAGGGAAACACATCAACTGACGGAACAACAGAAACACTGAACTACAACAAAAGCAAACGCCAACATACATAGAAACGGACTATTTGATAACAACTGACATATTCCTGACTTGGTACAGGACATTTTAAGAAAAATTGTTGGGTTGAACCTGGTTTTATGTCTATCCAAACCTCCCGCTTATATGGCAATCTTAAAAATACCGTACAGACAAACGCAAGAACACTCAGCACAGAGAAATACATAAATAAATAATTTAATAGTATATAACAACATGTAAACCGCAGAATAACAATGGACACCTCCCATGAATTTACGACAGCCATCACGAGTTTGTTGACCGTTATGGAATATTTGTTTCAAAGATGACGACGGATTAGTTCCAATCGTCGTAAACACAATCCCGTCCTCCTTTTCCCCGAATGTGACCTACCGAATTAGACTTTTCACCAGGTTTGCACTTACATGAGCAACACGAATGGTGCTACATGTGGAGCAGGATCTGCTTACCCTTGCAGAGAACCTGAGATCACCCCTGTTTTGTGTGGGGTTCGTGTTGCTCAGTCTTCAGTTTTCTATGTTGTGTTTTATGTAATGTTTTTTGTCTTTTTGGTCTTTTTTTTCTTTTTTTTTTTTTTGCCATGGCGTTGTCAGTTTATTTTCGACTTATGAGTTTGAATGTCCATTTGGTATCTTTCGCCTCTCTTCTAAACATGGACCCAAATTTCAAATACTTTTATCTTTGATAATCAGAAGTTCACCTCTCGTTATCATGATTCGTAAGCCTGTCAAAAAATTGAAAAGCAAATTAAACACTCCATTGTTTGACAACAAAAAGCAAACGATTTTATTCGTCCAAAACACACAGTATATTTTTTGTAACAATATTAAGTTTTTGTAACAATATTAAATACTATATATACCACGGTTCTTACGAGTCTTACGTTGTTTATTTTGAAGATAGTGTACACATATTCAGGTGCGAATCCAGGATATTTTTTTTAAAAGTGGGGGGGGGGGACAAACCAATGTTTGGATTGATCCTTGTAAAAAGTCTATGCACGCTTTATATATGAAACTCCGTAAGGGGGCGGGCCCCCTGGACCCCCTTAATCCGCCTCTGATATTTTTATTTTACAGGTTGTCTGTTTCATTTAAATTTACCTTCTAGCTTTTCGTACGTCAAACGACTTCGTTCTTCAATTAGATTTTTGAATTTACATCCAGTAGGCTTTTATGTGAGCATATAAAACGATACTTATAACTACGTACATTTATGAATGAACAAAGCAATACACGACATGATTTTCCTTATTTTTTGTAGAGTTGGTGAGATGCAGCAAAACACAATTTAAAAGATTATTACCAGACACTAAAGACAAAAACAATATTACAATTTGATTTTTTTTTTTTTTTTTTTTTTTTTGCCTTCAGTTAACCTTTGTTCAGTACCCTAAATAGCTGAGAGGCAAAAATGGGGGTGGAGCTTTAGTCATGGAATAACATCAAAATGAACATGTTGTACCCTGACTAATCTGTACATACTTTCCTCTTAGATTCTAGTTGGGTTTTATGTTTAGTTGTCAAAGTATGTCACAACATTAAATTACAGATACATGTAATTGACCATGGTTTCCCCCAACACACTTTTTATCCAAAGTATTCATCAAAACATCAAAAGAAAAACTACAATTTCTATGACAAGCCTATTTGTTATAGTTGAAACAAATGAAAGAATTCTAAGTGTGAAACAAAAACATAAACTATGTCAGATCAACCGGGGATATAAACTCCTCAATCAGATGCTATATGAAAGTTAGATGTTTTAAGTATCGCTCTTGTCTTAAAGTTTAGCTGCCAAAAGGCGCTCACTGTCAACTTCTTACTTGCTACGACCAACTTTTAACATCATCTATTTTAAGTTAAATAAATTGATACCATCTTTACAGTCACCTAACATTGTATTACTTAGAGGAATTATCAGATATCTGTCATTTTTATCATTAAATTCTTCATAGAAGTTTTTAAAATACTTGTCCGAGTACTTGAAATATGAGTTTCTATAAAATAATAAACCATCTGCTAGTGTTTTCGAAAATCAAGTTCATTGATTTTTACGAAAACAAGCAGATTGGAGACAACATAACTTAGTTTGAATTTGAGGTCAAGGTTGAACAATAATTTCCCATAGCATATACAATTCTAAGATATGTGAAAGAAAAAAATAAACACATTCTTTTCGCCATATAAGGATTACAACATGTAAGAATAAAAGTATTTTATATTCAGTAGCAATAAAACTTAATAAATATATAATAAATATCCTTTCTTATTTACACTTCATTTGATAGTTTTTTGTATATACTTTTTTATCCTGTAAAGATAAGTTGACCATAGAAACCAGATCCAACTTCTTTAAACAACTTCATCCATGTATGGCCATTGGAGACTCCTTAGAATCACATTTAAAGTAATTTTCAATTTTACCCCATAACAGTAAAAACCTTTAAAAAGTAAGCTGACAACTGGTTATTTGCCAGAATATAACTGACAATACAATACACTAAACAAGCTTTTAAATAGAAACTGTAAGAGGAAAAAGAACGGGTGCTCGAAAAATGCAATTTGAAACTCCTATTAAGTAAATATATCCGTTTGGTATCTTCTATCTCTATTTTCAGAATACATGACCTACATCTCTTCAGCTTCTTCAAAGATAAAATAGACAAGAAAGTAATTGTTTGTCTGCAGTCAGGGGTTCTCAATCATAACTTCGTTTTAATAAATGCTCTCTCATAAATGCCTTTTGAACAAATTCAATTTAATCCTGGTCCTGGTGTAAACTTTTAAACTTTTGCTTGGTCAAATATATCAATTTAAGTTGACACTTGTAAAAGAATATTTAATCTCGATCAGTAGATATTCAAAACGTACATTAAAGATTATACAATATCACAGGACTGGAAAATTGTATAACTCTATAATAACTGTATAATAGATAATAACAAAAAAGACGAAATAAACAACAACTATCTAGATTATCCAAACAAACAAAAACAAACATACAATAAAAAAATGTATACAGGAAAAGAGCTAAAATCAATAAAAACGGTAAGAAAGATTACTAAACAAAAAAACACACAAAATAAATTAGTTATACCGTATTCAAGAATGCTTGCAGATTCTGAAAGCAACCTCAAAGTGGTTTACCTGCTGTAAATAAACCGTGTCATACTTCACCTTATATCAGTTGCTGTACTTTATAGAAGATTTTATACAAGGACACCGTAAACGGTGCAAGAAGGCATGCATTTGTGCAATGCCTAAAACAAACTTTACAGAGAAAAAAAGAAATCATAAATAATTATATACAATTACTGTCTTTTGATGAGGTAAACATGTGGTTTTATTGAATTTTGAAGAAAAAAGACCTGATATTCAAGGAGGCCAAAGGCCGCAGTGAATATTAGTTTTTCAAAAGTCAATCCAACCACATATTTAACGGGAAAAAAAGACAGTACAAAAAATATGTAATCGATTTATTACATTAAAGTATTGCTTTGAACTATAGATAATTGACAGTTCTCGTAATTATAAAACAAAATCAATACCAGACGCAGTGTTTAAACCACACAGTATATAATCCTTTACCACTGAGCATATGATTGCAGCGAGACAATTTTGAAGGACACATCTTAAATTTTCTAGCTTTATAAACAATGTAATCGTAAAAAAGTGTCATGGCAAATGGAATCATACTTCCACAACAAATCTCTTTATTTACAGTTGTGTAAGAAATGAAAATTTTACGTTCATTAAAATCAAAGACCTCGTGAATATAGAAAATATAGTCATATTAGATAACGATTACTCTCGTAAAAACTGTTAATAGTAACATGAAGGTCAAGAATAGTCAATTCCATATGATGGCAAATAACCCTTCTATGTATGAAATACATATCAAAAGTCATAATTTTGAAATTGTAGACAAACTTTCTCAAAAAACTCGCGAAACTATTGTCAAATCATATAAATCGATAAAGAATTATTATAGTCAACTACATAAATGTAGACGTAGCTTTTGCATGTATTGGTACAACTTACAGTCTGGATAACTTCGTAAATGTAGACACATATATATATAACTAGTTTCGGATTATTAAAGGGTATTGATATTTTCACCACAATGGAATGTTTTGTTATTTTCTTTACACTATTGATAAATGAATGTGAATACATATAATAAAGTGACATAAGATGGTACTTGCTCATATCTTTACACATTCTTTGTTCATAGCACACTTGATGAAAAGCACCAAACAGTTTGAAAGAATAACAAAACTAATGTGTTTTAGTAAGAGGCATATATAATGAACGATTTGATTTTTAGAAGAACAATTGTCTTGTCACTGGAAATTTGAATACGTTTCAAACTGTTTCAAGTATTCTAAAACAGCATCGTAAATAAACCGGAACTGTTCCTGAAAAATGAAAGATAAAATATTATTATAAATGACTATCTTACCAGTCTTATTTGTTGCATTGTTATACAAGTGTATTTGTCCCCTCAGTTTTAATTATTGTGATAAGTTAGTGGGAATAACGTTGATTTTCTAAATGAGATTTTCTAAGTAAGACCTATCTTTTGTTTAAAAAAAGTAAACATCTGTATAACAAATTATGTTTTCAATACAACATACTATCCAATAAATAAATACACAAAATCAAACCTCTGTCACAGATGACCATGTATGTATTTATCATAAATAATTATATACAATTACTGTCTTTTGATGAGGTAAACATGTGGTTTTATTGAATTTTGAAGAAAAAAGACCTGATATTCAAGGAGGCCAAAGGCCTCGGTGAATATTAGTTTTTCAAAAGTCAATCCAACCACATATTTAACGGGGAAAAAAAGACAGTACAAAAAAATACGTAATCGATTTATTCTAAGAGAGAAAATTGTATTTAATGATAAATTTACCAAAACCAATTGTACCTCAAACATTTTACCATTAGTATATAGGTAAAACCAGGGTTTCCCCTGGCTCAATTATCTTTTTCGCCACCTCCTTCTCCAAAACAATATATTTTTCGCCACTTTCAAAATTTTTTCGCCAACTAAAATAAACATATTTTTTGTTTAAAATTCTTTCCAACAAAACAAAAAATCAGTTTGCCATATTGTTGTCTATTATTATTCTAGATATCTATTTTTAATCTACATGAAATTATCATTTTTGACTTCTGGGAACACGGGATTCATCTGCATTAAGTTTATCGGATACATTCCGTCTAGTTGAAGGATAAAGACTTATGTCAGAGTTTGTTCTTACTTTTGAATACATTTCTTCATGACAACAGATTTCTTTTCTAGACCATCGTCAAAAGAAGAAGTATAGATGTAAAACTATGCTTCAAACACGTTCGTCGCTAAAACGATTGTAAAGTAACCACCTCAAAAAAAGTACCCACGTGAAAACAGTTATTTCTATTAAAGTTAAAGGATAAAGTTTAAAGTCTTACTTTTGTACATTTTTAGTCATAACAACAGTTTTCTTTTCTGGACCATCGTTTAAAGAAAATGAGGAGACGTAAATCTGTATTATAGATACAATGGACAAGCGTTGATTCTTGAAAAAGAAACTATAAGTCCGGAGGCTTAAACTTAAACTATTGTGTTGATATCTTTTCACAATTAAAGCCTTTTCTTAATTAGAAGGTATTGTAAGTGAGTTTAGATAATCCTGTTATCATGTTTAACGATCAAACTTTACAATTAATTGGTTAGAGAAATACAAATATAACATAACACATCTGTCTTTAAATTATTATGCATCTGCATATTATCCGTAATTTACAAAATAAGACATATTCGAACTTATTTCTAATTATATATGATTGTATGATACCGAAATTTCTAGCAAGAAACCTAATTCTAGGCACATCATGATTTACTCGCATAAAACAGATGAAATCATATTATATTTATAAAACAAAAATAGACAAATTGAATGTAATATTTTTTTCTTCAAATACCTGAAGTAGCCAATAATAATCAAAAAATAAACGGGAAAATCCGCTATAATTACATAAATATCCACAATAACATACAAAATAAGAAAAACGGAAACACTAAAGAATAGGGGCAACAAAGAGAAAACAGGGATTCGAACCTAAACCGACAAGTCTCTACTTCTAAGTTGACTCTATAATTTATTGATCTTAACCTCACAGCTACCAACTTATACAATACGATTGTCTATTATGTATATATAAAGGTACACGCCCTGTGTGTCCGTTGTACCGATATGTATCATATGTTAATTTATATATATATAATCTACATCTAAATTGCAACCCATTGGTAGCCGAGAGGTTTCGACGATGTGTTGATGTCAGCCATACATAACAGATTTCATGGAGGGGTTCGATTCCAAGTGAAGGCATAGAAAAATTACAAAAGTTAAAGGTAAGTTTTTAAATTAATTCCATTGGTGAACAGAAATCAGTGAATTAGCTAATTCAAACTAAATGAAATTAGGCACACAAAGGAAACAATTGAATATAATTTGGTGAGTTCATTTCAGCGACAGATTTGGGAAACCTTGATTCTAGAAAAAAAACCGTGATTCGCTAAAACGATTGTGAAGTACCCACTTCAAAACACAAAACAATTATTTCTATCAAAGTTGTAAATAAATCCTTTAGGTGACATGTGACGCCATTTCACCACACATTTCATTAAACAATACAATCAACACCTTTATTAATTAGTCCATTGGTGCCGATAGTTATAAAATGCAATCAGCTGATTATTGACTTTTTATCAAAATCGTAACGAGTTCAAGGTGAATTCCTAGTATTGCCTGATCAGAGAAAAAGTCCGAGAAACCTGAAAAAGTAAACAAGATGGACGAAGTCGAGCCGTTATATTTTTTTCGCCAAATTCTTTCGCCAATAATGAATTTATTCGCCACAATTTTTATTTTTTTCGCAAAATGTGAAAATGGCGACCGCCAGCGGAAAGCTTGGGTAAAACCACCTGACGTTTAGCACGGTGAATATCACTTTTCCTCTGGTGAATATGTTGTTTTATTCAAAATTCAATTCGTATAATAAACCCCGCTACAGAGCACTTTAGTTCCTCTCCATTTTTTTATGTGGAGTTCGTGTTGCACAATGTTAAGTTTTCTGTGTTGTATTTTGTTGCCTTTTGTCCTCTCGCCACAGTGTAATTTATTTTTCTTTGACTGACAGTTTTTGATTGCCCTATAGTTTTCGTCTAACCTTTTCAGTTAAGATCCATTCGTAAAAGTAGAGTGCATGTACAAAGAGAGGTAAACCAAGATTTTTGGGTCATTTTTCATTTTGTGTTTCAAATTGAAATAAATTCATGACGTTTCATTATTAACGAAAAAAAGTGCGCATGTGCAAGAAGTGAAAGTCATAGAAATATTAGTCTTAAAAAAACTTAGTTTTAAAGTAATTTCGTGCTATTTCTGTGGAATATTTTTTGCTCTGAAGGATTATTTTAGTTTTGGAGACAATTTAGCAAAAGAAGTTTGTAGAAATATTTTGTCTTTGTGCGATATAAAGTGAGTTGAAAATACACAATGCAGGTGAGCGACGTCAATAAAATAAACATGATCAGCCAAGTAAATCCTACTCAGCTGGATTATAATACTTCAAACAGTGACGGCAATACACAACCAGGTACGTCTAGAAAAAGGCAAAGTTCGGAAAAGGACGATATCGAAAATAAAAAGCTGAAAGTAACTGAACAACTACAAATCCCTGTAATGGGAGAGTCCGAGAAGTTTCTTTTTTCTGCAATCCAGAATTTGGCAACCAATATAACTGTTAGTTTTAACATGCTGAATGATAGGATGATCCAAATGGAATCGAGTATTGAAGCGAAAATATCTGCAAAAATCGAGTCTGCATTGGAAACTAAGGTCAAAGAAGAAGTTGGGAAAATGAAAAAAGACATACAACAAGATTTTGATCGTATTTATGATAAAATCGACAATGTACAGAAATCATACGACGATCTTGCCAAGAATAAAGACAATGGAACCATAAACTCTGCAAGAGCAGCAAATCTTGTGATTAAGAATTTAGAATATGATGCCCGCGAGAAAGATGACAATCAAATAACTGTACACAAAGTGCAAGCCCTATTTAGAGATGGTATGACAATTCCCGACGTTAAGATAAAGTCCGCCTCTAGAAAGCAGGGAAGGGAAAATCACAATGGCATAATCATTGTTGAATTAGATGATGCAGCTCAGAAGAAAACAATGTTTAGCCAGAAACGTAAACTAAAGAACAATGCCGCCTATAAGAAAGTTTATATTGACAATGACTTGCCTCTAGAAACAAGAATTGTCCAAAACAACATGAGAACAATCATCAAAGAAATGGGAAAGGAACAAGACATGGTATTTGTCGGTAACAGATTGGTACATAAACGTCACTAGGATAGATTGCGGTTAGGTGTGTGGAACTGTCGAGGATGGTCAACGCGCAGAAACGACAATTCGACGTTCAGAAAGTTAGTTCTCGAACACTCTAATTGTGATATTCTTGCGATTTGTGAATCGTTTCTACGAGAGGAAGAGCAACTTTGTGTCCCAGGATATAAATGGATAGGTCATAACCGTACGAATCTGCATAGAAACGCAGTACGAGGATCTGGTGGAGTGAGTGCTTTTATTCGTTCAGAGTTGTTTAACTCATTTGATATTGAAATAATAGATAAAAGTGTTGAAGGAATATTGTGGATATGTTTTAATTGTAAATATAGTGATCTTATTTTTTCTCTTGGAATATGTTATTTGCCACCAAGTGTATCGACACGGCTGAATGATCAAGAAAAATTCTTTGAAAATCTTTTACACCAAGTTTACTGTAATCAATTGAAAGGAAATACGATTATTTGTGGTGATTTTAATGCTAGATGTGGCTTTAACACGGATTATATTGAAGGTATTGACGATGTTATACCTAGATCGGTCATTGATTCTATCGAAAACCATAACGGAGATCTATTTAGCGATTTTTTATCAGATGTCAATTTTGCTATGCTAAATGGTCGATTAGGCGTTAACGATTATATATATATATCACCAGCCGGAAAGTCGTTTGTGGATTATATTTGTGTGCCGTATGAGCAATTAAACCGTATTTTAGATTTTAAAGTATTACGAATGTCAGATGTAATTGATTCTGTGAATTATCACCCCGAAAGTATCCCAGATCATTCAATCCTATTATGTGATCTTAAATGTGTTTAACAAAATAGTGAAAATTACGATTGTAAAGTCAGTAAAAGGATCAAGCGCAATACCAAAAACGTTCCAAATGATTTTCTTACAGACGAAAGTGTGCAACAAATGGTTCGAGACACAATTACGAAAATAGAAAATTTTATTCACGTCGACCAGGATATTCAAAGTGCTTACAACGAATTTCA